TGAACCTCTCGGATGGTACGAGGCGACTGCATGTCAATGACCGCCTGCACCTTCTCAGGGTTCGCCTCTATTCCTCTCTGATTGATAAGGAATCCGAGAAATTTCCCAGACTCAACTCCAAATACACATTTCTTGGGATTGAGCATGACATGGTGCCGCCTGAGTGTGGCGAAAGTTTCTCGGAGGTCCGTCAGATGATCTTTCTGAAGTTTAGTCTTGACAATCATATCATCAATATATGCCTCGACGTTTCTCCCAATCTGATCAAAGAACACTGTGTTTATCATTCGTTGGAAGGTAGCCGGGGCATTCTTAAGACCAAACGGCATGACCGTGTAACAGTATAACCCCTGATCAGTGACGAAGGCCATCTTCTCCTGATCTTTCTTCCATAAGGGAATTTGATGGAAACCAGAATAGGCGTCCATAAAACTCATCAAGGCATGACCCGCTGTTGAGTCGACCAGGTTATCAATTTTAGGCAGAGGGTAACTGTCTTTGGGGCACGCCTTGTTTAAGTCTGTGTAGTCTACACACATTCGCCAGGTGCCATTCGGCTTTTTAACAAGCACCACATTTGCAACCCAGTCTGGGAAGTAACATTGCCGAATGAACCCTGCATCAAGTAATTTTTTAACTTCGGCGGCTGCCGCCTGACTTCTTTCTTCGCCATGGTTCCGCTTCTTTTGCCGTACCGGCTTCTTTTTCGGATCCACAGCGAGTTTATGTACTGCCAGATCAGGACTAATGCCTGGCATTTCATGGACTTCAAATGCAAAGATGTCCTTGTATTCTTTCAATAGGTTGTGAAAGTCGTCACCAAGGTTTCTCAGAGCAGTCGTCCCAACTTTGACTGTTCGGTCAGGACGTGAGTCGTCTAAGATCAGGTCCGCATGCTCACCAGCCGGCTGAGGGCGGAACTCATCCGGCCGCTCCTCTGCCAATGATTGCTATTTTCTTGCTTTTCTTGCGGACTCTGTCTGGGACGCCTTTCTCTTTTTGTCGCCTGTTTCTTGAACAGGCGCACTCTCCTTGACATTGTCAAGGTCTGTTTTTTCTCCACTTGACCCAGTGGCCATAACAGTGGGCTTGACATCCGAGAGATAGCACTCTCGGGCCATCCTCTGATCTCCCCTTAGGGAGCCGACTGTTCCATTATCCCTCTCAAACTTAAGCAGCATAAGAGACGGGATTATAACAGCCTTGGAATTATTCAGGGTTGGTCGACCCAGAATCATGTTGTAGGCCGAGAGTTCCTCTACTACTAGGAACCGGACTACCATGTGTCGTCCTTCCCCTTTTTCGCCCAGGCGAATGGGTAAATCTACTCGTCCCAGTGGGTGGACGACTCCTCCTCCAAACCCTATTAAAGGGTGGGAGGCCGGATGTATGCAGTTCGTCTGATATTTCAGTTTTGACAGACATTTGCTGCTGATGAGATCTGAGGAGCTCCCGGTATCTATGAGGATTCGGCCAACTCTCTGGTTGGCCACTTTACATTCAATAACGAGAGGGTCGTCATGCGGCCCCCTTACCCCTCCTAGATCCTCTTCAGTGATGACAATCTCAGGAAATGTATATTTGGACGGCCGTTCTTGGTGAACGGAATTTACATCTAACCGCCTTATATTATCTTTGTTGCCCCTAATAGTGGGGCCGCCTCCTGAGAAGCCGCCTGCAATGGTGTAGACGACTGCATCATCTGTATCGGAACTGTCGGCCTGTTGATTCTTTTTGGCCGACTGCTTTTTTGAGGAAGTGTTCCCCGTAGATTTCTTGACATAAGTGTCAAGATCACCTTGCTCAGCCAAGCGGTCTAGGTACCGCATGAGACTGATGCAGTCATTGGTGTGATGACCAACGTCATCATGATAAGCACATATTTTGTCTTGGTTCCGGTTGTTTGCAGAACCCTTCATGGGGACCGGCTTCTCAATTGAGAACCGTCCCTTTATTTCTTTTAGGATAAACTGGTTATCCTTGTTAAACACATACTTTGGGGAGTATGGTTTGAATTCTTTTTTCTTTTTCTGGGCCGGCTGTTTAGAGGAATCAACCGCCCAGACCTCTTTTCTTTTCTCATCTTTGTTAGACGACTGTTTCTGTCGTCCTTCTCTTTTGTCGAACCTTTTCCCGTCCGACTGTTTTATCGTACACAGATCAGTCGCCTGTATATAGGCTTCTGCTTCAATCAAGGCCTCTTGAAGAGTCGCCACCCTTTTTCGAACTAAATCAAATTTGAAGGTAGACCCGTCTTTGAGACCTCTAAAAAAGTCAGTATAAGCTACCTCATCCGGTAACCCTTGAATCTGTATTCTCATCAGGTTGAACCGCCTGATGTAAGAACGAAGCCCCTCCTTCTCGCCCTGCTGAATTGTTCCCAAATCAAGGGTCGTTTTCTTCGCAGGGATGTTCATGGCGAAGTTGGAGGCAAATAAGTAAGCAAGCGTCCTGAAGCTGTTTACACAACCAGTCGGCAGGTTGCCGAACCATTGCTGTGCGATTCCCTTGAGAGTCGCTGGGAAACACTTGCACCAAGTGGGATCATCCAACCCTTGAAGGTACATCAGGTTGGTGAATGCCATCAGATGGTCTTCTGGGTTAGTAGTGCCGTCATAGGCGCCTACTAGTACATTTTTTACTTTGGCCGGCTGAGCGGCTTCAGTAATTTCCTTGGAGAAGGCCGACGGCTGTTCACCAAGTCTAAGCAACCGTAGCTGCCAGTCCATAGGTTGGACGTTTTTTGCTGCAAGTCCACCAAATGGAGGTGGCTGCATAAAATACTGTTGTTGCGGAACAAATGGTAAGTTTGGTACCGCCTGGGCACTATGAAAGCCGGACTGACGGGAGGTGCCGCCTGACTGACTCTCATGGTACGACTGAGTATGCCTCATCGAGGCATTTTGCAAACTGTCTTGAAAATTTGAAGTAGAAGCCGACTCTGACAATCGGTCACTCTTCTTCTGCTCTAGCAGTAGCCGAGCATCTGTGAACGTTTGCTTTGACCCGTTCGCCTGAATATGACGAACCGGTTTCCTATTTCCCGTAGGATAACGGAATTTTGTGAAATCAAGAGCAGGTGGCTCCCGCTTCTTGGATTTAGGATGAGGAGTCGCCTCTCGCCCTTGAACTGGCTTCCTCTTCAGTGAAGTGGAAGGTTTTTTGGCCGACTGCTCTTTGACTGAAGCAGGCGGCTTTTTGTTGATCAACTCTTGAATCTCTCCCTTGAAGTCCCTCATGAAGGTCATGAGTTCGTTCCTTGTGATGGGAGCAGACCCATCAGTCGGCTGTTGCCGAGCAGGCGGTGCGCCTGCTGGCTCGCTTCCTGTTTGAAGATGCTCCCGTTCCCTCCTTTCGGTATGACGGGTACGTCGGGCCCTTAGGGTCCCGTCTGGAGCTGTATGAGTTTCCACTTCAAATTCACTTTCGGTGTCATGGTCCGACTGAACTTGAGGGTCGTTTAGGGGACGCCTCTCTTCAGGAGTCGGTACAGACTTGGATGCCATCTCTGAAGTACTCTCCCCACAGACGGCGCCAAATGTTTCGGGGTTTTCTGATGTCCTACGGGAGAGTTACAATTCCGAGACTGGAACCGGACGCCTGTACCTGCAAAATAACGGAGACTCCTGAGAGCTCCGCCTCCAACGGTCAAGTTAGTACCTGATTAAGGAGTAATTAATACGGAAATTAAAGTAATAAGACCTCTCTAGGTGAGAGTGTTTAATGTTGGTAATCTGCTTTGTTAGCGAGATTAGCCGGTTATTAGTGTTCCGTAATGTTTCTGTTCTTCTCTGTTCTTCAGGTGAGATTAATTGCTTGATCAATTGCCTCTCAATTGCTTGATCCCTTTTAATGAGGATTAATTAAGTATTTATAGTCTTGAGAAGCGTGCCACTCTCTAGGTTTAGGGTAAACCTAGGGCTGACCGGGCCTCTAGACAGGATTGGGCCTTGTTGGCCGGTTTTCCCATTTGGCATGGGTGGACACGTGGCGTGCCTCGATTGGTCCGTAGAGGACGTATCTGTGATTGACACGTGGCAGGCTCCTATTGACCTTCGTGAAGGACACGTGGCGGAACCTGGTTGGTCCACTTGTCAGACGGTGATTGGTGGATAAAAATCCCCTAATCAGGTACCCCTTTATTGGGGCAGGTTAGGGGGAAACCCGTTCGATGCGTAATCAAAATTAAATGAACATTGATATTGGTTTAGTTAGGTGTTGAATGTTTTGTGTGCTTGTAAATAGGGGCAGCACGGTAAGTTGTGTGTTGTTAGGATGAAAGCTTGTTAGTGTGTTTTATTACACTTATGTACTCAGCATTGCTGATTGTGTGTTTGTATGTTTGTTTCGCCTTGTCTTTATCTTGGCCATACGACGACCCATTTCTAATGGCGAGTAGTGGGGGACAAGTAGAGAGAAGCTTTTCAGGTGATGAAGCATTTTCATGAAGGGCTTAAATGAAGAGCGAATCATGCTTAGTTCTCATAGGAATGGTTTTATTTGGCTTTGAATATTATTTATTTTATTCTGCTCATGAGACTAACACAAAGGTTTTAAATATTGTTTGGTTTTAAGGGCCTACAACGGTTCCAAGTTGTAGGTTGACTTAGTTTGACTTTTACTTTTGTTTGGTTTGACTCTTTAAAGTTGATTTGTTTTTAAATGGTTTTAAAGATAGTCTTCCGCTGTGTGTGAGTCTTTGATATTTGCCTTAGCCGTTTTCACGGTGGCGGTAATGTCTTAGATTTTCCTTTTTTGTATTTTAAAAGGGCAAAATAAGTATTTTAAAGGAAAGAAATTTCTAGGGTGTTACATTATCAATGTGAGAGAAATAAATTAAGTACCCAGAGTTAGGGCTTGTTCTGATTTATTAAGCTGAATTGAATTGTTTACAAGAGAAGCATCCTCAAATTATCATAGTTTTAATTTTAAGGCAAATAGCCCACTCAATCAATCATAGAGTAGAATGGATAACCACGACATTCACAACAACACGAAAAAATGGTAATCAATAAACGATAAGAATCTACCATATCTGAACAAAATTCAGAATTAAGATATACGACGAAGTGCTCACCCTCAATTTCATTGTCTTGACCAAAACAAAACAAAATCCCATATTAAACAAAACAATATCACCCAACTAATAACATTACAGCTCCATTATTAGCTGTGTTAGAAAACACACACGACTTTATATTGTTCAGAATTCATTGCTAACGCTTTTTTCTGCTGCCATATTTGCAGAAAAAAGCAGCAATGAGTTCTGATTCTGAAGCAGGTTTAGGAGGAGGTGGAAATGATCTTCGAAAACCCTTTCTTCATACTGGAAGTTGGTATCGAATGGGTTCTAGACAATCCAGTTTAATGGGTTCTTCTCAAGTTATTCGAGAAAGTTCTATTTCTGTTCTTGCTTGTGTTCTTATTGTTGCTCTTGGTCCTATTCAATTTGGCTTTACTGTAAAAATTTGACTTTTTTTTGTGATTTTTTTTGGGTTTATTTTGTTGGGTTTTTGTTGAATTTTGCTTTTTGTTTGATTTTTTTTTAGTGTGGTTATTCATCTCCTACTCAATCTGCAATTACTGAAGAGCTTGGTCTTTCTGTTGCTGAGGTATTTGATTGATCATTGATTAAGGGGTTAATTTGGAATTATTTGTTCGTGATTTTAATGTTGTTGCTTTTGTTTTTGTTGGATGAACAATATTTGTTTAGTACTCTTGGTTTGGTTCTTTGTCGAATGTGGGTGCTATGGTTGGTGCTATTGCGAGTGGTCAAATTTCGGAGTATATTGGAAGAAAAGGGGTAAATAAACCATTTGATTTTGTTTCATCATTATGAATGATTATCACATTTTATGCAATTATTAAGATTTTATTTTTTGTGATGACAGTCTTTGATGATTGCTGCTATTCCTAACATAATTGGATGGCTTGCTATATCATTTGCCAAAGTAAGTCGTTGTAACTGTTGTTTGATCGTGCATTAAGATTTTAACGTGACCATGAATTTGATTTTGGGAGTCTTGTATTGCACTGCTTTATGCTGTTCAATTCTTTGCGCAATTAGGATTCTTCATTTCTGTATATGGGAAGGATGTTGGCAGGATTTGGCGTGGGAATAATTTCATACACGGTAATTTCTGTGGTTCTGTTTGGTTGATTTTGGTGGAGAATTATGAGAAAATTAGTTGAATCCTAATATTTGAGCTACTTTGGGGTAATAGGTTCCTGTGTACATTTCTGAAATAGCACCTCAGAATTTGAGAGGAGCATTGGGCTCAGTAAATCAGGTTTGTGGGTGTTTGATATTTCTCTTTGATGTTGTAGCTATTTTAGTGATCCTGTAACCGTAAACTTTTTGGTTTTGATTTGGTCATATTTTGTTCTTTGGTAATAGCTATCTGTTACAATAGGCATAATGCTGGCTTATTTGCTTGGGCTTTTTGTTCCGTGGAGAATACTTGCAGTGTTAGGTAATTCTTTGGTTAATCTCTTTGCATGTGTTGCTCAAGTATATGTGGTGCTTTCTGACTTCGTATTTGCCACTATGGTTGGTTATAACATTAAATTGAATCAAGGTTGTTCCGTTATGTCAATGCTGTTTTGCAATAAAATTTCAACTGTGTTTTGAGAAAAGTGGTTTGGATTTTGGAAAGTGCATTCTAATAGCACTCAGTGACATTCAATCATTCTTCATAAAAATAATTAAATCACATATAGGATAATTTCATTGACAATTATCCAGGGTTTTAGATTTGTAAATTATCATTACTTTACATAATTCTCAATTTGAGAGGGTTTTAGATTACTTAGAAAGGCTTCACTCACCTAACTAAATTAATCTAGCTTGCTTTAGGTTTCACTTGCCTAATCTATGTTACTCGAACTCGATTACCCATGTCTGATACATGTACGTGTCTAAGTGTCCGACTTGACTATATTATGAAAAATTTCCATGATTTTGAACTAAAATGAAGTGTCTAAGTGTCCTACCCATGTGCGAGTGTCGAGGGTCCGACATGGGTTCTTGAGGTGAGATGAAAAGTCCGAGTAACAAAGCCGGGCTAATCATTGGGTCTTTCAATTATTATCACTCAGTGCTAATAATAATATCTCTCAAGTTTACATTTGGTCACACTTCTCACAAATAATATATGGAACTAACCATTACTCAAATCAATGCACATCTCAAAATAATTACAAAAATGCCTTAATGGAGCCTCCTTTCCATGAGGGTGACTCCTATTTATTGAACTGATCAAATGTTGTTCATCTATTTACCAGGAATATTGCCATGTACTATATTGATCCCTGGTTTATTCTTCATACCAGAATCTCCTAGGTGGTTGGTATGTTATCTCAAGCTCCTTGCTTCTGCCTCGTTAGTGTACTTCTGACTAATGGTATTAATATGTATTATAAATATCACTTTCAGGCAAAAATGGGCTTGATGGAAGATTTTGAGGTTTCCTTGCAAGTTCTTCGTGGCTTCGACAATGATATATCTCTTGAGGTCAATGAAATAAAGGTAATAATTGTCAGATGCCTTCTCCTCTCTGAGGCTTATGGAGTGGTTATAAAGAGCTGTGTTTTATCTGTTGACCGTTTTATGTGTTTTAGAGATCTGTTGCTTCAAGTAGCAAAAGAACCACCATAAGATTCGCAGAACTACGACAAAGAAGATATTGGTATCCTTTGATGGTAATACTTAATGTCTGCTCTCCTTGATTTCAATTATAAGATAGTCAATCTTTAGAGTTTACATGCTTGCCTCCTCTGCAGGTAGGAAATGGGTTACTTATCTTGCAGCAACTGAGTGGAATCAATGGTGTTCTGTTCTATTCCAGTACCATATTCAAAGAGGCTGGTAAGCTTAAATTTGTCTTTCTATGTTTGTTATTTTCTCAATTGGATGTCTATAGTTATAGTCCAATCCTAGAAGCCTTCTGGCGTATATGGTGTCTGCAAGCTTTCTATATTTACTTTTACTCTAAATTATTTGCTGAAGTTCATAGAGCATGTGCCACATGGAAAACCACAATTTAACTGAGAAGAAAGAGCATATGCCCCCTTTTTAATTTGTTAGAATCAAGTCATACGACTTTCTTTTTCAGGGTGAGAGAGAGAGAGAGGGGCCGGGGGGGGGGGGGGGGTGGAGGGCAGATGTGTTATCTTTATTTTAGTACTCGGTATAACTTTTATAAGCTTATAGAATTTCATGTTTTTATCATATGCCCCCTTTTTAATTTTTTTGAATAGAATCAAGTCATACGACTTTCTTTTTCTGGGTGTGAGAGAGAGAGAGAGGGGGGGCGGGGGTGGAGGGTGGAGCGCAGATGTGTTATCTTTATTTTAGTAATCGGTATAGCTTTTATAAGCTTATTAAATTTCATGTTTTTAATTGGTTTTAAATAGGGGTGTCATCAAGCAATGCTGCAACAGTTGGCCTTGGTGCTGTTCAGGTGTGCTTACTGTGTCTCTGTTAAAAACAATTCACTAATCAACTTCAATAGCAATATTTAAATAGTTTTGTTTCCATGTATTTTCATCCTATTAGGTTATTGCAACTGTGGTAACTACGTGGCTGGTGGATAAATCAGGACGCAGGTTTCTTCTAATTGTAAGTAAATAAAGTATTAATGTTTTTGCATTAGTGAGTGATAGAATAGAAAATTTGGACTATGTTTCCTTACTCATTGTCCGTGGTTGCAATAGCTTTCTTCTGCAGGGATGACACTTTGCCTTCTAGTGGTTGCTGCGTCCTTTTTCTTAAAGGTGATAATGAATCCAACTTTGTACCTGTTGAGCACTGCTCCCTCCTAAATAATTTTTAGCTTTGTAGAGGGTTTGCTAAATGTTGTGTTTGATTTCAGGATATTGTAGGAATTGAATCTTCATGGCACAATGCATTCTCTATCATTTCGGTTGTAGGCGTTGTGGTATGTTGATGAATCTACTCTTGTTGCACCATTTTGGCAATTTTCCACTTTTTGAACATTTGTCATGTGGTCCTTACCTAATCATTCTTCCAGGCTATGGTTGTTTGTTTCTCACTAGGAATTGGGGCCATTCCATGGATTATAATGTCAGAGGTATATATTTCTTTCTGGACTATAATTTGCATGTTTTCTTTGCATTTAATGGAGCTTCTATTTATTTATTTATTTTTTTTAAAAAATATTCTATGATCAAGTCTGCTACGCTTTGTTATTTTGGAATATTATTCTGGACTGTTATAGTAAGCATGTTGTTGAGGCATGGAAACTCAACCGAAAGAATCAATAACATTAATTATGGAAGAATTAACGAAGAAAACATCCTGTTTGTTAAATCAAATTATACGTATAGTGATCAATTCACTGCTAACTCTTTAGCTTTAGTTAGCACTTAGCTACCAATTTTATGCAGAAATTACTTTCAAAAACAACTGACAATGTCAATTTCATCTTTAGGAACTATCTAAATATGAGTGTTTTTTACTTAGATAGTTCCTATGTGTTAGAATTGTACGAAGTAATTCATAACCCAGAAGAAGACTACAACTTCATTGCTTACTTTCTTAAATTGACTTCATAAACTAAAAAAGTAGTGGTTAAATGTAAGACTTGCAAGTTGCAACCCATAAGAGTAGAGTATCTTAGCAATTTTGTATCAAGTCAATTGCAATTTGGTTTTTCAAAAGCTCTAGCAAACAATTAGACCCATATATACCCTATCCCGGTAATTTTTCCTATCCGCTAGAAGGTGGCATTGCTAGCACATTGCTCCTTTGGGTTGGCAAAGGTCTACTAAATTGTAAAAACTACCTTTGTGATAAATTTAGCTCTAAGATCCTCATTTAATTTCATGGCAAAATTTAATGTGCCTAACATTTCTTACCATACATATTTTAACTTGTTTTTTACAACTATCTACCATGGAGATGTACTAATAAAACAAACCACTACAGAGTACAAGCACCATTGGTCACTAAAATTTCAGAAACTTCATTACAATTAGGTTTTTAATCACCGAATTAATCTTGAAAAATACTCCCTCTGTCGTCAGTACCTTACCCATATCGTTTGGGCACATTTCACATAACTTTGACAATCAATATCTTTGATTATCCAGGAGCAAAATTATTAGAATATTGAAATTATTGATACTTTTTAAGTTTATATTGACAGAAATCCAACAATATATATTTGTAGAAAAAAATTAATATTTATTAAGTAGTTTTTATATATGGTCAAAGTAAGTATATGAATGGTACAAAGAGTTCAAGAGAGTAAGGTATTGTGGTACAAAGGGAATAATGTAGTAGCAGAGATGTAAGTGATGGATTTGGAGTTGTGATGACAGAAGGTTTGATTAAATTCACAGCTTAAAAAAAAAAAAAAACGAAGTATCAAGCATCAATTTGATTTTTGCTTTTTTTTTTTTTGTATTTTTTTTGTGTATTAATATGCAAGTGATGCAACCGGCACCTTTGTGCATCTATTAAACGTGGTTAAGAGAACATAGAAGTTTGTTTGGTTTGATAACAGAGATTTTAGAAAATAATTAGGATATTTTTGTCTCTTTGATCCTTAGTGGGGAGGTGGTCTTTTACAAAGGAAAAAAAAAAAAAGTTTCGCCTTGAATTTTCTTGCAATTTTGAGTTTCAAAAACTGGGAGCATAATTTTCACGAGAACTTGTGCTACATTGACCAACAGCACTAGTTATATGTTAAGAAAAGTACTGCTGCATGACAAACATAGTTTTTTGATGCTGGTAGTAGGATAAAGAAGTTTTTACTTCTATTGCTTGCAAAAACATGTCTTACTCTGGGCCAACTCTGTCTTCGTTAGGCACTTTTTGTGCCATAACACTTCATATTCTCCTTCAGAACTCATAGATAAAAGACTTTTGTTGCATGTACTTTAAATCGGTGCTGGAAACTTTAACATGTCTGAAACTTGCAGATCCTTCCAATTAATATCAAAGGGCTAGCAGGGAGTATTGCTACACTTGCCAATTGGTTCATAGCATGGGTTGTCACCATGACTGCAAACATAATGTTGTCTTGGAATAGTGGAGGTGCATTTCTGCTCTTTTTCTCATAGCATGACTCCTTTCTCAGTTTGCTGTGATTAAAATTGAGAGCAGCTTAGCAGTTAGTCATGCCATCAAATATGTTTTCGCTGATTACTTTGTTTTTCCACTTTAGGTACATTCTCTATATATATGCTTGTTTGTGCCTTCACTGTGGCCTTCGTTTACCTTTGGGTCCCCGAGACAAAGGGGAGAACATTGGAGGAGATTCAGTATTCACTGAGATGATAAGCCGGATTTTATGGTAGACAATCCGATGGGCGTCTAGCATTAGGCTCGATTCAGTCCAAGTTAACATTTTCAGCTTGGTGGATCTAGCTATGCTGGGTAGATACTTGTATATGCACATGTAACTTCTATCATCTAGTCGAATATTGAAGTCACTTATGGAAGAGTTATGTAATGCAACATAATTTCCCTGCCATTTTTTCTATTTTTTTTTTCTTTCTATTTTCATCTTTTCCTCTCTTCCTACCTCTTCAAGATTTTGACAATAATTGTTTTGCCATTAGCTCAACCATCTATACCATGATTCTTGCAGAACATTAATAAATTATAATGGGTTTTAAGATTCAACTAGTTATTGGTTTGGCCGTTAGGGTGTTATTGTCATATTGTGGGTAGTTGTGGACAATAAAAAATACGGAGTACTTCGTAAGTGTATACAGTCTTTGTCTTTTTCTATTTACAACACACTTTTTTGCTATTCCACTATTTGAAGAATTGATTGGAAAAGGAAATAAACGGATTAAGCTATAAATTTTCAAAAAATTATCAAGAGTAAGCGAATTTTTGCATGGTTAGTTAATAATAAGCCAACTTTTTTATTAACTAAAAATAAGTCGGCCTTTATAAGATATCATCCAAAAATAAGTTGTCACATATTAGTTTTGGAAATAACTAGTTATTTGAGTTAGTTATGCCAAGTGTCAAAACAAGATTGGATCTTTGGTAAATTTTTAATTTGAAAATAAACACTATAAAAAAAAACTTGTATTTGTGAATAATTACCTTAATTTTTTTTGTATTATAACCACCTTTAAAAAGAATTAATTATAGGTTTAACAACTACATAATGGTTTCCGTCAAGGAAACTGTCAGTGGCATAAAGTGTTCAAATTGAGCACGGAATCGTCAAAAAACAATAGAAATCACTCGTTTTGTTTGCTAAGAAATGTCTCGAATAGCGTGCCATTAATGGTTTTAGTCGAGAAAATTGATCGGTTAAAGTTAGGGGTCATTTTGGTTCTTAAAGGACCAAATCGAGCACAAAATTGTAAAAGAAAAAACAAAAAAACTTTGTTTTGCATTCTATGAAACAAAAACAGTTATTTGGTGATAAAAGCTACGAAGTATATTTTTTTCTTTTCAAAGGTAGTTAAACACAAAAAAGAGAAAAAAAATTAGGGTGGTTATTTACAAAGAAAAATTGCTCGGAATAATCCGACTTTTGCCTCATTCGCCCAAAATAATCCTACCTTTCGATTATTTTTTGGAAAATTTGCCAAGAATAACACCACTTTTCACAGGTCTTTCAAGAGTAGAACGACCTTTAGATTATTTCAAAATAAAACGACCTTTGATACATCTGCCAAAAATGAAACGTAACCGGTTAGTAACCTGTTAAATAGGTTACTAGTGACACGTGTCAAAATGTCATTGGTCAATTTTTTAACAATATTTTTTTTTAAAAAAATAAACCAAAAAATTAAAATAAAATTACTTAAAAAAAGAAACTGAAATTAAAATAAATAACCTCCATCCCCCTACTAGCAGCCACCCCCACTGCCGGGCCTCCTTTTAACCGCCGGCGGAAAGAGCCCCCTACCTAGGGGCCAGCGACACCCCTCCTCAAACCCCGAACCACCCATCTCCTTTTACTGAACCACCTTCCTCCCGCCCTAAAACCCTCCTCCCTCCCCTTGAAAACCTTCTTCTCCTCATCGGCTGGTGCCTAAACCACCTCCACTGTGCCGGCTGTTGGGTTATGCGGTGTCCTACACCACGCGGAAACAAAACCCGATAACCAGATCGCATGCATAATAATTACAACATAAACAAAAGCATGCAAATAAACACAAACATAAGAGAAGAGAGAGAAATAATACTCACCCTAGAAGTGTGCTTCGCTCAACCGATGAGCTCGGACTTTAAAGCTTCAAGTTCCGCAAGTGCGAGAACCTCCAACGGTTCACACCCTCGCTAGCGAACCGTAACCGGTCCCTACACCGTAGCTTAGACGGGGCTAGACCAAAAAAAATTTTAGAGTTTACGAACAAAGGTTTTCTCGCTTTTTGAGATCCCTTAGAGTTCACCAACTCAAATGAATTTCCTAATACCCAATGATGGGTATGTATAAGGAAATGCCCTAAAAAATTCCCATCATCTTTTAATGTGGGATAGTTGGTAAAGTAGAAAAACATGAATTAATTTATTTCTAAATTAAATTAAAAGGCATGTACAATAATCAAATGACAAGTGTCCACACACAATAGAGAGTAGGTAGGAGGACCAAATTGACCTTGGAGAACAAGGCATGGGGCTGCTCCAACCTACTCGGTCAGCAAGGGTAGCTGCTCAACCATAGGCAGTAAGGCCAGCCACGCTGCCAGCCTTGCGCCACAAGGCTAGGCCTGCTGGCCCCTTGCCACAAGCCCACGCTTGCTGCAGCAAGCCCATGAGATTACCGCAAACAAGCAGCAGCAGGCCCATATGCCTACCGCAAGCAAGCAACAGCAGCACCCGCAAGCGCCAGTCTCGCTGTTGGCCTTGCTAGGCAGGCCCAGCTAGGGCTGCCTTGGTGTGTAGACTACTAGGCCACCCCATCCAGCCCGCAAGCAACGGCCAGCCTAGTTGGGCCTTGTGATGGTTGCGGTGGCTTGGTGCTTACGACCCCTAGTCATTTGCCTTCGACCGAGGCATGGCTAGGGCTTGTTCTATGCTTGTAATTTTAGCACGATACGTCATTTGATTATTTTCTCGTCTTTGTCGATTCCTAAAATCAACTCGACGCTCGATGCTCGGCTTCGACGCTCTATGCTCAGAATCCGATGTCTTAATTCGTAAAATCTCTATCGACTCATTTAATCCTTCGGATTAATTCGTCGCTTCGGTTTGGTTACACGATTGGGTGTGACCCGAAGGGTTTAGTCAAGAGCAAGCTGTAATATTAATTGTACATTAATATTATTGATCGGAAGCGGCCTCCGGCTAGGCATTCCGATCACTTGACCTCACTGAATAATTGGCTATCCAAATTACTTTCGAACCCTCTATCAGAATAATACACTTGTTCGAAGGACACCATTCCTTTCAATTTCCCGCTTGTTCTTCCGGACAAGTGTGCCGATTATGTATAGCCTGTTTCCTATGTCACTTAATGTCTCTTCATGAACTGTAAGGTAAGATTCATCGTCATCCTTATTACCTTCAGAAGTGTTTCTCGATTTTCGAGTTCGACTGTCAATAAGCAGATGATTTCTAAAATCCATCTGAGCACGACCATGCATTTTCACAGTCTCGCTCTTCGAGAGGCCTTATAAACAACAAAGACATATTCCCTACTGATAATAAGGGGAAATTCCCAGTCTTGCATTGTTAGCTTCCCTTACTAAGCGGCCCAAGCTGCTCGAGTCTTGCCTTTATAATCCCCTTGTACGACAGACGTTTAACAACATCAAAACGGACTAGTACTCAAATAAGAGAACTTACAATACTCATGGTTGAGGAAAGAGGTTCTGATAGCCATAATGAGTAATATACTTATGATGATTGTTAAATCTCTTAAATATTTTCATAGGTCGATCCGGTATAGTTCCAAACCAATACCTGTGCAAATGATTTAGGACTTTCTTGTCCTTGTAGCACAAGAAACGATGCTATAAATCATACTACACACTAATCTCGCGCGGTCATTAGTCGTCCAACTTTTAAATGACCTCGATTAGGGATAATTTTAATATGATATTCAATGTTCACTTAATAGGTGTTTCTTTATCCAAGACATTGTCGTGATACTCTATTTGAGTATTCTCAAATTGAATGGACTCATTATTTAATCCTAAACCACAATTAAATAGAAATGGAATAATAATTTATAGAAAAATTAAATTACTCCATAAATGAATGGTTTAACTTAGTGTTTTACATTAAGATCTCTAAAACTTAATTAAAACACACAAATAGGGAAATCAAATCCAATCTCCAATATGCCTGATTCCCATTTCCTCAACGTGCTTGTTGTGTTTCACTTGAGGCAAAGGTTTAGTGAGTGGATTAGCTACATTGTCGTCCCTTCCAATCTGGCAAATTCTGATTTCACCCTCGGACTTCCATTCCCTTATCATGTGAAATTGCCTCATGACATGTTTCTGATGCTCCCTTGGCTTTGTGGCTTGAGAAATAGCCCCACCATTATTACATTAGAGGTCTATTGGTCCTTTTATTGGAGGGACAACACCAAGTTCACCAATGAACTTTCGAAACCAAACTGCCTTCTTAGGTGCTTCAGAAGCTGCCAAGTATTCGGCTTCAGTTATAGAATCTGTAGTTGTGCTTTGCTTAACAGTCTTCCAACTAGGCGCTCCTCCATTTAGATAGAACACGTACCCAGATTGCGAGTTGAAGTCGTCTCTGTCAGTCTAGAAGCTTGCGTCGGTGTAACCTTCAACAACCAAATCCTTACTCCCACCATAGACCAAAAATTTATCCTCGTTCCTTTTCAGGTACTTTAAGATATTCTTGGCCGCAGTCCAATGCGCCTCTCCTGGGTCTGATTGGTATTGTCTCGTATCACTCAAGACATACGATACATCTGGCCTAGTACATATCATGGCATACATGATCGATCGAATAAGTGAAGCATATGGATTCTGACTCATTCTCTCACGCTCATCAGGTGTCTTTGGACACTGTTTCTCGATGAGAGTTATGCCATAAGACATGGGTAGGTGGCCCTTCTTGGCTTCCACCATATTGAATCGTGCCAATACCTTATCAATATAAGTACTTTGGCTCAATCCAATCATCCTCTTAGATCTATCCCTATAGATCTTAATGCCCAATATGTACTGTGCCTCTCCCAAGTTCTTCATTGAGAAACACTTTCCAAGCCAAGTATTTACAGACTCCAACATTGGAATGTTGTTTCTAATGAGCAATATGTCGTTGACATATACAAAAGGAATGCGATGTCACTCCCACTAACCTTCTTGTAAACACAAGACTCATCTGGATTCTTGATAAGACCAAACTCACTAATGACTTCATCGAATTGCAGATTCCAACTTACGCTTGCCTGCTTTAGTCCATAAATAGACTTCTTAAGCTTGCATACCTTCCTAAAGTTGTTTGGATCTACAAAACCTTCTGTCTGTGTCATGTACACAGCTTCTTCAAAAATCCCATTAAAGAAGGCAGTTTTGACGTCCATTTTCCATATCTCATAATCAGAAAATGCGGCAATTGCTAGGATAATCCGGACGAATTAAAGCATGGAGGCTGGCGAAAAAGTTTTATCGTAATAAACCCTGTGAATTTGCC